AAAAGCGAAAGCAGGTGAGTCTCCTGTCAAGTTCAAATATGGCGGTACAAAAATTTCGATACAAGACCAAAGATTTAGAGGTCAACGAGCCAGTACAGTATTCGTCACAGTGATTCAAATTTCGCCACCTAACTCTTGAGTGTCAGTTGGAGTCTTGCGGAAGGCCCGAAGACTTAGCGACGTACCTCCTCTGTCACACACTAAATCGACCTCACATTTCCAGATCTCCGTAGAGGTTCGCGACATTGGAGGGAGCCAACAGTTGAATCTATCATTACAACTACAACACTATGAGGATCAACACTAGTCAAGTCTTTTCAAAGTGGTTGCTAGATAAGAGTTTCTACCCCTACAATGAGTTAAGGGCTACCAGGTACAGCTTTGAGTGCAGGTATGTTTTGCTGGAAGCAGGAGAGGTCCAGCATCCCAGTTTCAGGTCCTTGAAATGTGTGGCAGTGAGTAGCTTTGACACTCCCAGCCTGGAACAACTCATCATGAGTGGAAGTGCCAAGCCCATGACTCCTGATATGAGCTTCATTCTTGATAGCATGGAGTGTTGGGGATATTACCATAATATTGAGTGGTACAGTATTGTTCTTGACATGATAGCCACCATGTTTGAAGAGGATCAACCTACAAGGAAGGAAGGGATGTGGAAGCAATGCATTTACTGGAGAGTTAGAAGCAGGGCCCATGCAACTTATGAGTATGACTCTCTTGGCCATGATGCAGTGTTGACTTACTGGTCTGATTGGTTTGACAGGACCTTTCCAATGCCCATAATCTCCTTTAGGGTGATGACACTGATGAGTGAGGATTTTGTTAGTAACATCATTACCTACATTCAGACAAGGGGAATTGTTCCTTTCCCTCCCAACATGGATGGACCTGACTCCATCACTAGCTCTGAAAATTGAGAGAGGAGAAGTCTTTGTTGGTGTTTGTTATCCAAGTAGTGCCAGTAATGAAAAAGTAGCAACTTACCTTGTACTCAAACCAGTCATCCTTATTGCAATCCCTGTGCATAGTCTTGTTGCAGCTAGGACCAAACCCATCACTTGCGCCATGGCATTCCTTCCTCTCATGGCAGTGGCCACACCAGTCTCTCAAGCAATTCTTTCCTGGCTTTTCCTCTTTGGCATGGTCTCTCTTCTTGTGAGCACAAGTCAAACAAAACATCCTACTCCTGAAGAGTTTCCTCTTCTTTCTTGGTGGTGGCTCCTCTGGACTTTCATGAACAGACACTTGATAAGGGACAAGTCGATGTTGTACATTGTTGACAGTGGCCACTGCTTGTTGTCCATTGCGAACGCGAACGGTAGCCAATGCACCAGCTGTCACTTCAGCATTCAAAACTGTTGGATTCGCATAAGGTGTAATTCCGGCATTATTGTACACAGTGGCTGTTGTGTTGTGTGGTGTTGGCTGTTGTGGAAGAGAGGAGCGACCCTCTTGGAACTGTGCATCCAACAGCACTCGGTGCTCATCATTTCGGCCATTTGGAAGTGTTGCCGCGAGCTGTTCAGCGCCACGAAGCTGGTCAAAGTACTCCTGCAACTGAATGCAGCTTTTTCGGTTAATGAGACCAATGCCGTCACCTTCACTCCAAAGCTTGAACCGGCGAGCAGACTCTAAGTTCCAATCTCGCTCAAACTGCTTATATCCCTTTGGACCGGTCATGGAATTCCGATTGTAGTGGCCCTTCCAGTTATCGAAGAGAATCTGTTCTTCTCTCTGGATGTCTGTTGTTGTCGAACCACTAGTAGGATTCTTAAATGGAATCCATGTCTTGTCGTCTGCAAGACGCGAGAAACACTGTAGTGTGGTCTCCTTGCTTAAATCATGTTCAACCGGTAGCAGCATCTTCAGGTGGTACAGAATGATGGCTCGATTGTCTTTATCACGGGCATCAACTGTAGCCTCCGTAGCATCTAGACGCAACTCTTGTTGGATGGCCGGATCCTCAACCAATTCCATGGCAGCTAAATATTCTTCATGACTGGCGAACACTTCAATGTCGGCATCTTCTCCGGCTTGGTCCTCCACCAACCTGGTAGCTTGCTCTAGTTCTTCTGCCTCAGCTTCAACATCGGATCGTCCAGGAACGTTCTCGTATCCGGCTAATGCATGCAACCTCATCATCATCTCCAGAGTTAAGCACAGCCGTTCTTCCACTTTCATCGGTAGGATTGGAAACATCGTGTATGGTGTCAGGCATCTGGTACTCAAAGCCCATGAATTCTTTTGTGTTCCCGTTTGAGACTTTCGGCGCTGCCACATCCTTGTATGGCAACTTTCCATCCTCGAAACCAACTTCCTTGGCAATACTCCTTATCAGCAAGAGTCGTTCTGTGTGGTAAGTGGCGTAATCCTCTTCTCCAAGTCGTAAGATGGCCTTTCGCTGATTCTTCTCCTCAAAGAAATTACCCATCAATCGTTCTGCTCGATGGACTCCTACATCATGTGGGAATGCGTACAAATGCGTGAGTTAGACAAATTGAGTTTGTCACTGGCTCATGTCGAATTCAAATCACTTACCAATATGTGTGGCGGTCAATACCTTCTCAGCTAAGTCCAGGTTGTCTCTCTCATTGGTGTTGGTACCTCTGGCAACGTATGTTATATCCTTGCAAGCATTTCGTCGGAAGATATTGACCAAAATGGGATCTGGATCACTAAGGCATCCTTTGTCAACATGACCAAGTTGTCGCTGAATGAGCTCTCGTGTAGCATTGTTGTTGGCTTTGAAGAACCTTTTCGGAAGGGGCCGTGTGTCATTTGCAGCCCTGGTGGCAATTGTAGCTTCGATTTCCGCGTCTTTGGCTTGCACATACCAAATAACTCTTTCGATGTTTGCACGTAGCACATCTTTCGGAGGGATAACAGAGTTGGCTTCCTTCAGAATTTCCTTTACTGTTGGCTGCCGCTTTAGTTTGTCTTCCAGTTTTTCCTTGGCACGCTCAAACTCCCCTGGCTCAACCATGAAAGTTGCTCTGCTGAACAACGCTCGAATGACACCGGCTTGTGCACTTGAAGGATCTTCGAAGATCTCATTGAATCGCTTCAGCCAATGAAAAGGATCAAGCAACACCTCTGCTCCAGGGAAACAGCGCCGGATAATAGCCCTGACATTGCAGCAATTATCCACATAAATCACCTTGGCTGATTGCTGCACTGGACCCAACTTGGGAATCGACAAGTCCTTCTCCACATCTATTGAGACGCTGTTGGGAATTAACTCGCGCCTTCTTTTCTCATAATCGAGATGGTATTTGAGACGGGAAGACAGCTTGGCTGATTCCATATTCTTGTTCAGCCGGTGTCGAAGACGCAACAGATCAGGTTCAATTTCTGAAATGGATTCTGAATGCTTCAACGCCTTCCAGAAGACAGTCATGGCATCTTCATTTTGAACTGTGACAATACACTTGAAAGGAGAGAAGCTTGTTCCAGCTTTGGTCCAAACTCGAATCTTCTTGGCCAACTTATAATTGAAGTCAACCTTGAGCAAATCGGCCTTCAGACCCATCATTTTCGCCAACTGAAAAGACTGCCGCTGATGGAACACAGTGGAAACGATGCTGTCAATTCTTCCCTTGCTGATGAAGCGGCCATTGTATCCAGACTTATCATTGAAATTGGAAAAGGGAGTCAATCCTTCAGGCTCCTGTGTCACCGGATCTTCATTATTGTTCCCATCGGTGTCTCCAGGAGGGTGCTCTTGAATGTAGTCGGTCAGCTGCTTAGTTGCGTCTTGCAGTTCCCTTTGCGCATCTTCGAAACTCAGCTTTGAAACATCATAGGCCTCTTGTAATCTAGCAACGTACTGATTGCCAATACCTTGCCATTTGCGAATTAACTTTGCCGGAGTGTTCAGATGTCCCCAGTCTTCTGGTTTATCAGTGTCCACAGCCAATAACTCCTCCAAAGTATGCACACCATCGGCAATCAGTCTGCGTAGCTTGGTACCACCAAGCCCCTTTAGAATGTTGCGGTTTCCAAACTTGTTGCGGTCATCTTTCTTGCTTAGTAAATCTTCAAACTTAAGATCCCTATGAAGAATTCCTTCTGCTGTAGATAGTGCCAACCGCTGTCGCGTAACAAGGGATGATTTGTCCAACCTGCGGCGGCGTAATCGAGCGAGCTCTGGGTCTTCTGTGGCTGGTTCTGCCTCTAGCATGTCATCCAATGTCCTCCGTTTTTTCTTGGGCCTTATCTTATCTAAGCCCACAGCGGTCAAGTACAACATATGGTCATCATAGTAGGCTGCATAAGCTTGCTTCTTCAATTTCTTCGCAATCATGGCCGTTGCCTGTGACGCAGAATCTTCAACTATTTGCCGGTGCAAATCCTCATCCGCGGCAAACTGGTGACCCAAATAGAAATTGAAATAGGAGTTGTAGAGTGTTGCGTCCAACTGCATGGATTGTTTGTTGTAGCCTGCAAAGTGCCGCTTGCATCTACTGCAAGGGTAGAGCTTCGTGTCAAGATAGCGGTGTCTGGAAACTCCAAACAACAGTTTTGGTGAGTTGATCCATCTTGTTTTGCTGTTCGTCACTGACACGCAATCATTCTTCTTGCAGTGGGGGCAGTGAGGAACATGGTTCTTGAAGAGTAAATGGGGAACCCATGCAGCAATTGGTCTCACATAGAAAGAATCAACAGTGGTCTTCTTCGCCGTTGACTGGTCAAGGAGAGTGCTGTTATTGCGTCCGGTGCTGGGTTCGATTGACCTCCAATTCTTCCCAGGGCCATTCTTGTCAAAGTAGCTGCGCGAGTCTCTGTCTATCTCTGATCTGACCTTCTTTATAAAGGCTTCTTGCGCCGCGCCATATGGTTTCTTGGTTTGTTGACACATCCCGAGAGTGTTGTTGTCATTGCCTCTTACTTGTAATAGCACCGTGGAGACAGTTCAGTTCAGTTCGAACGAAGATTTGGCGGCTTAAACCAATAATTCCAACTCTAAGTGTAAAGTTTCGGGATCTTGCGTGCCAATTTTTGGGCCCATAATTTCAGTAGCGGTGGTAGTAGGGTTTTAACCTCGAAATCTAGCTAATTCCTTCGACAGACGGCCAGGAGATAAAGGGCCCGGTTCTTCTAGATTTAGATGGTATGGAGGAAGGGCGTGATAGTGATTTAGGGGGTGCCTGTCTGTCCGTCGTCGGGGTGTTCTTTTTCTTTTCCTTTTCTTTTCTCTTCTTCCGCGATACCGCGCTGCGCGCGGACCCGAAAGCAACACGCGTCAAACCTCCGCCGTTGCCAGTGCTAGTGACGGGATCGTGGGATCGACCAGCTGCTTGCTTCATCAGGTTCGGGCCTACAACCAGACCTCTCCACTCATCTAAAGAGCACCAAGTAGCATCCAGGTAGCTAGTTGATGTCAACACTATTTCAACAACTGCTCATGTCAAAACTAAAGACGGTCAGCTAGGGATACTCGTACCACTTTGCGTCGAGGCAGTTGGATCCTGTGCCGCCGGTATAACCTTGGGTTGCTGGAGACTAGCAAGGGAGCGTGGACTACTCTTCTCCCTCGTCCGCAGTGAAATACTCCTCATCTTCCTCAGTCTCCTGACCTCCCCCTTTCAGATTGTCAAGATCAACAGCATCATCTTCTTGATCTTCACCACCTGATATTTGCTGGGTGGGAGATTCGGTTGGTGGCGTCAAGCTTAGGTCCAAGACGGTTGGATCTGCGAGTAGAAAGCGAAATGTTCGCTCGACAGCCCGCTGTCTTCTCCATTCACCAACATCGACAGTGTCATCGTCATCGCCAAAGGCTAGCAAATGCTCGTTCTCTCTCTGGTGCATGGATCCTTGCAGACTCAAGGCTGCCAACTGAAAGGGATAAAAGCCAGCCTTATTCTCTCGGAGCCCTTCCGGCGAGGCCTGTAGCAGGATATCTTCCACGGGAATGCCTTCCCGAGCTGCTATGTGAATGGGTAAACATCCACTGCTGTCTCGTACCGTAATTGATTCAGGATGAAAATTGACTAGCCACTGAGTAAACTCGCGCAGTGCCTCTCTTTCAGGGAGATTGAACGTGAAACTACAGTACCAGATGCGACCCTCCTCCAATGGCAATCTTCGATAAGACACATTTCGAAGAAAAATGTGCAACAGCGAGTCTCCGTTGGCTACTAGTCCGTCAATAGCGCAGCCTTGTGGCATCCTATCGGCATTATCTTGTAGGAATTGAAGAGTTGGGAGACTCTGCTGAATGAACTCCTGCTTTCGCTTGATGAGTCTGCTGTTATCCCCACAAAACGGTTCGGAGAGAAAGAGTTGAAAAAGGGTATGTAGAACTAGGAGATGACCTTGATTGTCGTACGTCACCATCCGCGACTTCTCCTCTTCAGTTAAGATGGTCAGCTTGCAGTTCAGAGTGCAGATGTACTTCTCCATCGAATTCACAGCATCATCTTGCACCACTTCATTTTTACGAGTCAATAGGTAGTCTACCAGACCATCTACTTCTGGTGTCCTCTTGTCATCAGAATCCCACCCCTCGGCAATGAATCGACAGCGTGTAGGAAACGCCTCACAGATTTGCCTGAGCCTGGGAAGCGGAATCAACCCAATATCCGAAAACACCTGAGCCGGGCCCTTCCTTCTCACGTTATCGGGATTCAATTTTTCGTAGCTTTCGGCATGCTCTCTGGTCTGGGCCGTGATAAACCAAAACGTCTCGTCGCAGCTAAAGATACTGGCAATGGTCAAGGCGGTAAGATTTAGTGTTTCCTCAACCCCATCCATCCGAACATAATCATCATTTAGCAACTTGTACCCGAATCTATTATCGTGGCATACTCTTTGAATCAAGTCAAGCGGAGCGTCTAATCGAATTAGCGAAGCGAGAAAACCGCAGGACTTGCACAGGTAGTGCCCTGTTTGATATTTTCTCTGGATATAGGTCCAGTCTCTTCCCTCCAACCGCTCCCTAAAGGCATCTCCCTCTGCGCTACTGTTGCTGAAGACCGACTCATTGTCCTCTTCTTCCATCTTGCTGCTTCTCTCGCTCCTTAACGTATCTATTTAGTATTTATTTTCTTACTTCTTGAGACTGCCGTCGAGGACGGCAACTACCCCCACTGGAATGGGGACGGGGAAATCCTGTGTTTCGCCGTTTCGCCCGAAAATAACCCCGGAATGTTACTGGTGCAACACAGCCAGGGAAACAGCCCCTCCCCTATGGAGGACGGACGTTCAATAGGGGAAATGCCCTCAGATATCGGTCAGTCCCAATCGTGAGCTAAGGGAAATACCCCCAAAACAAGTAACACGGATAGGTATCAGTTTCGGCAGCTCGTGTCACCTAGTTAACCTTAGTGAGTGTTACATCCCATAAGTCCAATGCGCGAGTCTGCAAGAGTTGCGCCCTAATTAACCTAGATGGCATCCTCGCAATCTCTTTTTGGGCTCGTTGTGTTCCATACGAAAGATAGAAGATTACAATTTCCCTTCCACGCTAGTAGTACTGCTTGACAATGATGGCGAATGGCAACTCGGTCTTTGATGAAGAAGAAAATGAGAGTGACAATGAGCCTCCTCCTCCACCACCACCGCCGCCAGATGATGATGAAGAAGGAGATGGCTGGAGGTACCCTCGAAACGCCAAGCATCAGTTTTATATCAGTGAAATGATGAGCCACAAAGATGGCCGAATGAACAACAAGTACGGACGAAATCAAGAGTTTACGAAGGAGGAACTACTCTCAGTTAAGCCCCGCCATATTGCACGATACCTTGAATGGAAAGCCTACGGAAAGGTGAATCCTGGTCCAGATGATAGACCTTCGAAAAGCAGAGCTGGGTCACTCAGAAAGTACAAGGGCGCAATTTCCTTCTTTATGATTAACAAGAGAGTGGGCTGGATAGAGTTTCCGAATGGAACAGCCGCAGGCAACCCAACACGCTCAGACCCAGTACTGGATGTCATCAAGCGAGTGGAGCTGCATGAAACTCGAAAGGAGGGCGTGGAACCCAACGATAAGCGCCCCTACAGTCACCCAGAGTTTTTGAAGATAATAGAACTCTTCCGCCGCCGTCCTGACTTCAACCACCGATACAAGTACTTGGCAATGAAACTGTGGTCCAGCCACTTGATCCATCGAATTGATGACACTGCGCACTTCAAAGTCTCAGCTCCTCATGGCAACAGAGAGTTTCCATTCACACTCAAGACCAAGACATCATGGAGTAAGAATGTCAAAACCCAAAAGAACTGCCCTGATCAGATCATCATGGCGTCCATGAATTGGGAAACCTGTGTTGTTTTCCACTTCGCTGCCTACTTGGAGCAATGGCTTGGCAGGTTTCCAAATGCGGTGTTTTTGTGGACTGAGAATGATGATGCCGTCAAAGGTCCCACAAACGTCAAGAAGCAGTATTCGGCCAGAATTGAAGTCACTTGCTGGGTCGAACAAGAATTCAAAGACCTATGGGATGAGACTGGTGAGGACGCTGACAAAGGCCTTGGAACTCACTCTGGACGGAAGTATTTCTGCATTCGTGCCAAGGATGGTGGAGCCATTCGGTTTCAAGTGGAGTACCGTGGAAGGTGGATCGGCGACACCAATCAAAGGGTAGTCGACAAGCACTATTTTGGAAAGGATGACCCCTTCACGGATGCATTGGTGGCAGCCATTCAGTGTGAGGGAGGAGCGATCAAGTACAAGCTGAAGGAAGGAATTGAGATGGATGACAACTGGCTTTTCTTCACTTGCATCCCTAACATAATGAATTCCAATCGCTTCCAGAATGATGCAAGATTGTGCATGGTTGTCGCTTTGGCTACACTTTGGGGATGCATGGACCCAGCGGCTTCCGATTATCTACCTACTGGTACGTCTACTGCAATGCACTTTGTCTATTTGTATGCTACTGTATCTAACACCACGTTCACCACAGAACAAGTTGACAGAGTTCGGACAAACTTCAACTCAACCTTTCCCAATTTCGAAGGCAATCCAGTGGCCAAGGTTCGAATCAAGGTGGTCAATGTCAACCGGAAACTTGACATTGTCGAAGTCGGAAATGGGGAACAGGAACAGGCCGATAAAATGTGGGTTGGATCCATGGGATCAACGTGGTGAGTGTGAGAACAAACTGTCTGCCTTATGTTACTGGTACCCACATGGTATGTGGAACAAGCAAAGATATAGAGAATCTTGGTTGGTACTGGTGAGACACAGGCCATACATATGGAACCAGGGAAGCCCCATATGGTCCCATATGAAGGTTTTGACCACTGTATCACCCCAGATGGCCATGAGGCGAGCATCTACTCAATCAGGTGACCCCAGGAGGATCCAGGAGCCTCCAGTGTGGCTCAGAGTGCTCAAATCCTGCATAACACCCAATTATTTGGATGCATGCTTTTTGCTCATAGTCCTAAGAATTGAATGTAAGAATTGAATACCATCTCCATAGACCTGTAGCTCCCTTGTTCCTTTGCAGTAGATACCTATCTTGTTGAGGCTGAGCAGTGGCATTGAGAGGTAAGCTGATAGCATTCGCTAGGCTGCCCAGCATCGTGACAGAATAACATCGTACCAGCTCTAGGAGCTGGAAACTTGTAAGCAGAGGAGGCCCTGTGGCCATCCTATCTCTTGTGGATCTACCCTGATCCTTCCAAGAAGTTATTGGATTAAAAAGTCGCAATAGCATCACAAAAGAAGCTATTGCTACAGACAACAAGCTCAGTGAATCAGAGCTCGATCCAAGTCCGAGATCTCCAAGAAATCCTACCTTTTGACTCATACTATCCACACAGCCATTCTGTTTTATTCGAGGTCACCAGTGGATCCGCAGGTCTGAATTACCAGAACAAGCTCTGCAAGCCTCCAAAGGTCGAATCGAGCCGGCTACCAACCCAAGTTCCACGAAACTCGAACCGATCGATCGATCCGTACAAGGCAACACCCTTTTTCGAGGACTTTGTGAGAGCTACTAGCCAAGTTACAGAGGAACGAAAAGAGTTAACGGACACTGCAGAGGTACACGGTACCGGTCACCAAGAAGCTCCTCAGCCTTACGGAGGAACAAAAAGAGTTAACGGGAACGGCCGTGCAGTATTCACGAATTCTTGTACCGGTCACGGAACGAACGACGTTAACTCCCCAAGACGCCTGGAAGCCCCTGGAACGACCCAAACGTCCGTGCAGTTTTCACTGTACCTGGTACCGGTTTCCGTGCAGTTTTCACCGTTCCGTACCGGTTCGCGCGTTAATCCGAAGTCACCGAACCCGGAACCTCCTGGAAGCCTCAGGAACTCCGGATCGATCGGAACCTCACGATAACTCGAAGACTTAGAGTGTTCCTCCGAAGACTTAAAGAGCGCAACGTGTGTTTACAACCGTTTTCACCACGGATTACATCATTTTTTGGTGATTTTCAGTGCACTACGCTAAAAGCTAGTGTAAAGATCTTTCGAGTGTTTTGAGTTTGAGAGAATGAGTTATGAGAGGATTAGAAAAGCTATGAAAACTAATAACGAGAGAGATCTACAACCAAAGGGATCGTAGATCTAAACTCCCGCGGGAGACTGTAAAGTGTGTAGAGTAGGTTGCGGTAGCAATCCTATCATTCCACGATCCAAAAACGGAACGCGTGGAAGATTCGTCTAGCATTAATCTAGTGCGTGGAAGTACCCACGCTGGCTAAATATCAGACGCGATGTTCATCATCAACCTAGTATGACTAGGCGGTCATTGAGAACCCTTCTCAATACTATTCACGAGAGACTCAGTCATGAGTCGAACTCAAACCCTATCTAGGATCGAGTCGCGAAAACGGCTAAGAGCCGTGTATTGCATTCGCCCCCTACAAGGTCACAGAAGGCACGCAATCAGTCGGACAAGGAGAACCAATAATTAAAAGTGCGGGGCACTCTCCGGAGATTGGATGTAGACATGTGCGTCGAACGATGGCAATCCTACAAGGGGATCAGGCCTTGTATGGGTGTAAATACCTTATGTTTCAAGTCTGGTAGAAGCTGTGCCGCTATGGGTAGTATGTCGGAGCCCGTACAGTGCCATTGTTTGACTCGGTCTGTGTTGTAAGGACCTTGTGCGTGGGCTGACCGTACGAACGGTTCTGATACTGATGAATCATCATAGTATCGTTGACATGGTGTTGATGAGGGACACGTGCCGTTTCTCTCTTATCGGTGTTTTTCTGGATAAGTCGTTGGCGACGTTCCTTAATGATTGACGCGCGTGAACTTGCGACGAAGTCCATGTTCATCCCGGAGAGCCTTCTCGACCTCTACGCGGGACTCACGTTCTCTGTCCATGACGACCGGTCATGGATACTGGGTAACCCACGTCTGTTTCAGAACGATGGTTACTTCCGTCTGCTGTCTTGGAGCAGCCCTTGGTAGTTCATTGGTCCATGAATCTACGAAGTTCCTTCCTGTTTGTGTGG